GAAAAACAAAAGAATTGTTTATAGGTATTTTTTCAGAGTATATTGAATAACATTGTTATCCCGCAGCGCCGGAAGTTTTTTTTCATTGATCTACAAAAATTTACACTTTAAAACAGTAATTGTTATGTATTTAAATAATGGAAAATTCCATTATTAAATACATATGTTGAATATTATTTTAGTGTGTCGTTTCACTGCATACAGGTTTCATTGAGTGGAACATTCAACATAAATGGAAAAATATGACATCAGAAAACGGCTAAGCCCCATTTGATGCTTACCTAACATTTGATTCGTTAAATTTGCGGCCTTGCAATTTTTAACTAAATATCGCAACGCGTTATAGTAACTGCCAGTTATATAAGGAATAATTTGCTCAACGTTTTCTTCCGCATTCAGAGCACCACTCGCAAAACCAACCACTGCTAATAGAACATTATTGACTGATGTAGCAATATTATGATACTGTATAAAGACTGATTCATTTTAAGTTATTGATGTTCCAAAGTAGCTTATCCCTTATCTTAGCTATAAATTAAAAAAATCTGTATGTATAAAATTGTGAAATTAATCTAACTTAATTACTTACAAGAATGTGAACCGTCGTATATTGAAATGTACATATATGATATAAAAGTAAAGTAACAGCCTATATCCGTATCCCACTGCTGGGCAAATGCCTCCTCTGTACAGAGGGTATTAGGGCATAGTCCACCACGCGGCCCACTGCGGATTGACGGATTTCACATATCCTCGAAACAATTATAATGAAATAATATATTTCGAAATAATATATATGCAGTCACTCAAGTTTCCTCACGATGATTTCCTTCACTGCTGAGCACGTGATAAGTCCGCATTTAAAATTAACAATTTCATTGGCGTCGGCACCGGGATCGTTGCTCGAGAACATATTTTTTTTAAACATTGCCCTTACTTTAGGATAACACCATCCTGTGTTGCAAGGACGTTTTACATACATAAATTTCACGTGGACAAACACCCAGATGCGAAACAACTATCTGTGGGTCACACAAATAGTTGTCCCGTGTGGGAATCGAACCGATAACCCCCGACGCCGAAGCCAATACCTTGGCTACTGCGCCACGGGGTCATCAATATTAAAAGCGAATACAAACTTAGTATTCATTTCTCAAATTCCAATTGTCTCATGACGTTGAGTTCTCTCTTCAAATCACATGTTCCACCTTTTTTATTTTTTATCTTTATTAATTTAGAACCCTGTGAAAGCATATTTTGATGCGAGAAATCTTGTTGAACCTTATGTATGCCTCTCGAAAAATAGTATTTAATTTCCATTTAGAAGCAAAATCGGCTTACGTTCAAATACTTTAATACAGATATTAATGGGTTTGGATTGGTATATAATATACGGTATGTAAAAGAGCCGTGATAGCTCATTGTCCAGGTGCTCGCTTTTAATATTGATGACCCCGTGGCGCAGTAGCCAAGGTATTGGCTTCGGCGTCGGGGGTTATCGGTTCGATTCCCACACGGGACAACTATTTGTGTGACCCACAGATAGTTGTTTCGCATCTGGGTGTTTGTCCACGTGAAATTTATGTATGTAAAACGTCCTTGCAACACAGGATGGTGTTATCCTAAAGTAAGGGCAATGTTTAAAAAAAATATGTTCTCGAGCAACGATCCCGGTGCCGACGCCAATGAAATTGTTAATTTTAAATGCGGACTTATCACGTGCTCAGCAGTGAAGGAAATCATCGTGAGGAAACTTGAGTGACTGCATATATATTATTTCGAAATATATTATTTCATTATAATTGTTTCGAGGATATGTGAAATCCGTCAATCCGCAGTGGGCCGCGTGGTGGACTATGCCCTAATACCCTCTGTACAGAGGAGGCATTTGCCCAGCAGTGGGATACGGATATAGGCTGTTACTTTACTTTTATATCATATATGTACATTTCAATATACGACGGTTCACATTCTTGTAAGTAATTAAGTTAGATTAATTTCACAATTTTATACATACAGATTTTTTTAATTTATAGCTAAGATAAGGGATAAACTACTTTGGAACATCAATAACTTAAAATGAATCAGTCTTTATACAGTATCATAATATTGCTACATCAGTCAATAATGTTCTATTAGCAGTGGTTGGTTTTTGCGAGTGGTGCTCTGAATGCGGAAGAAAACGTTGAGCAAATTATTCCTTATATAACTGGCAGTTACTATAACGCGTTGCGATATTTAGTTAAAAATTGCAAGGCCGCAAATTTAACGAATCAAATGTTAGGTAAGCATCAAATGGGGCTTAGCCGTTTTCTGATGTCATATTTTTCCATTTATGTTGAATGTTCCACTCAATGAAACCTGTATGCAGTGAAACGACACACTAAAATAATATTCAACATATGTATTTAATAATGGAATTTTCCATTATTTAAATACATAACAATTACTGTTTTAAAGTGTAAATTTTTGTAGATCAATGAAAAAAAACTTCCGGCGCTGCGGGATAACAATGTTATTCAATATACTCTGAAAAAATACCTATAAACAATTCTTTTGTTTTTCTTTATACAATCATCATCTTCCTGCCCATATCCCAGCTAGGTGACACAAAATATGAATGTTGTAAGTTGTTTTGGCTAGGTTTTTTTACAACTGCCTGCCCGACGTCAACCTTGACGTCAGGCAGGTATTTGTAAAAAAAAATACAGTGCATTAAAAGGCACAGGCAGCCCAAATACTTGTCCCGTGTGGGGATCGAACATAATAATTTAGCAACAGCGCTACCGAGTTTCATCACCTTTTATCTTTATATTATGTCACACATATTTTTTAAATGTTGCTAATATTTTCCTGAAATAAAGGGAAACGATTATTTGTTAATTTTCCACTATTAAAATGTTGCTTTATTCAAAATAATACATTATTCCGAGTGTTTATATATATATATATAAATAAATGTTTATAATAGTTTTTATTGTATATATCTAGCCTGCTAATTTTCAATTTAAAGGTAAAATTAGAATCCTTTTTTTTTCCAAAATGTTACGAAGTTTTAATTTATAAAATAATGTAAATGATCAATGCATATTCTGGTCAGTGGTAAAGATTTCGTATAATGAATGATATATTTTAGTCATTAAAGCATGTATGGGAAAATTTAATGCGGTTACAATAAGGTTATAATTCACAAAAACTCACATAAACACCTGCTGAATACCATGTATGCATGCTGGAGCCTATCCTAATCTTATGTGATTACCCAATATACAAATACGAGGTAGATATGACACATCACACCGAAGCTGAGGCACTCAAATTAAGCCAATTGGTGTAATTAGAATGCAATTCTATAGACTGCTATTTCTTCCCGTATCATACGTCGATATCATCTTTCACATTCACTTATATATCTCAAATAATGTAAAGCGGAACAATGTTTAAACGCCCCGCAGTCAATAATATTATATACCAATATGAGGTAGATAAGGCACTAGCGTACCGAAACTTAGACGCTCAATTTACACCAATTGGTATATATAATTCCTTAGACTGCTATCTGTATCCGTATCATTCTTTCTATATCATCTGTCGCATTCACTTATATATGTCATATAAAGTAAAGCGGAACAGCTTTTAAACGCCGCGCGGTATGGACTTGGACAGGCGTCCTCTCTATTACTAAACATCATTGGTTGGCAAGATTAAATTGATTACCAAAGAACATTATCGCTTTTTGAGAGTAAAAATTTTACTCTCATAATTTTTCCAAACGCGCCAAAAGAATTATAATTTCAAAAAAGTCTATTAAAAATAAAGTAAAGTGAAGAAACAGCCTACATATGTCCGACTGCTCGCAGGCAAAAGACTCCTCAATACAGAGGATATAAGGGCACAGTCAAACACCACGCAACTGCTATCCGACAGGCTCGACTTTGAAGTTGTAGCCCCAGTCGAACATACGCACTTCCCTTATATAGAGGGACAATCATCGGATGTGCTTGATATTGCAGTCGTTAAAAACATCAATCTGACCATGCGCGACCCGGAAGTGATTCACGAGCTTCACTCTGATCACCGACCAGTCCTCCTTCGGCTAGGGCCCTCAGCAATAGCCGCCCCCCAAACCAAAACAGTCATTAGCTGGCATAGAGTCAAAACTAAACTTAATGAGCCCAATTCAATATTAGAGTCGATCCCCGACCAACTCAACAAAAAAACAGGACACGGAGACCGCAATTCGGGCCCTCACGAGTCACGTCAACACCGTCGTCGAGCAATGCTCGAGACAGGTTCCAGCGATGGACGACCATCGCTGGGCCCTGCCAGACGACTTGTACAAGACTTACTGAGGCGCAAGAATGCGGCCACACGCGCCTACGATAGATATCCCACCATGTGGAACATGTGATTTGAAGAGAGAACTCAACGTCATGAGACAATTGGAATTTGAGAAATGAATACAAACTTAGTATTCATTTCTCAAATTCCAATTGTCTCATGTTTAAAATAAGTCCATGATAAAAAGGGACGTGTTCAGGAATTATAACTGTATCCTTCAGCCATTTCATAATACTGGCTAATACAATAATTATGCAAATTATCTGGAAGGTACTCAGTAATACTTAGATTATTAATTTTTGCTAAAATTCGATGAAATGACACTCCTAATCATGATTGTGTCATCTGTTTAAGCAGTTGCATTATCATTATTGTACTTAAAATACATATATACATATATATAAAATACATATATACAGTTTTATAATTTAAATCGTTTGTGATGACAAATAACAATACGCATTCTCTATGAATAGCATAATTAGACTAGTTGTATTGTAAGTATAGTTGTATCGTAGGAATTTTATACAAATTCTTATCCAAAGAAATCGATTAACTACTTAATCTAATCAAATTCATGTCTCGAGTTAAAATGAAATGCACATGTAACCGTCCTAGATTGTAATAAAAATTTCTTTATTTTACTCTTTCTAGGCAATATGCGTCGACTTTACCTAACAGACAGGCATTTGCGTGTGATGCTTTGGTGCATTCTTCTGGGATTACAACCAACATTTGCTGGAATTCTAGACCCCTTTAACTGGGCCCGTTCTGATCGAATTGAGGTCAATATACCGTGGCTGCCATGTGAGTATAGATTGTTGGGATTTGGATTTGGAAAAACGTGTGTGTAACTTTATTCAAAGCAGGTATATAAAAATAAATTCATCGGCTCATTTCATGGTGTTCATTTCATGTGCTCGATGTGCGAGCGAATCGTAAAATACAAGTCATAATTATTTCATATATCCTAATGGGTAAAAAAATGTCAAAAAATAAAAAATAAAAATATCGTTGTAATGGTTTTTCAATATTTTGTCTTTGCTCTTTATTTAGATACACTGAGAGGATGTAAAATGGATTCTTCAGAGAACTTTAAAAATCTAAAATTAAGCAAGAATAAATATTGAATGTTTCCTTTGTTTATTCCAGTTGAAAACGAAACAAGATGTTACGATGAACTGGGCTGCTTAAACATCACAAGAAGTTGGTACCATCTTATACATCGACCGTTCAACGTTTTTCCACTACCGAGAGTAGTTATAAACACGAGGTTCGTATTTCGAAGATTTACACAGATACTTTAAATGAGAAATACAACAAAAGTCTACGATTTTTGCATATAAATTTTAAATCCTAAGAAACGTCTCAGGATGCATTAGGATTTTGTATGTTACTATTTTCTTTATGTGAAAAAGTGGTAAACGAGCTGGCGGTTAACCTGACGTTAAGTGATGACCGCTGCCCATTGAAATATGCGACACTCGTAGAGTTGCAAATGCGTTGCCTTTAAATTAAGTGGGCCCCGGCTACCTCACTCACTAGGCGAAACGCAAAAGTGTAACACATCTACTTTACGCAGGTCTTTTCCACACACACACTTGTAAGTACTGTGGTAGGGCTACGCAACAGCCTTTACTGTATTATTGCACGAATGGGCACGTCCATCCGGGGAAGTACCACGACCTCACAGAAGACCGGTGGGAGATGGAAGCATGTTGTGTGTTGTACACTTTTGCGTTTCGTCTGATGAGTGAGGTAACCGATGCCCACTTTATTAAAAGGTAATAATGGATCTGAAACCCTACGGGTGTTGCAAATATCCATGGTTGACGGTTATCACTAAGTAAACCTTCAGCTCACTTTCCGTTTTGTCACATTAAAAAATCGAAAGTTATTCATAATCATTATCAGTTTAACATAATTGTATATTTTTAAGATAAGAAAATAAAAGTAAGCAATAGATAGATTCTAATTGATTGCCCTTAATTTACTTTCAGATTCATTCTGTACACGAAAATGAATCCTACTGATGGTCAGATTTTGAACGTGAACATGAATAAGACCATAATTAAATCTAATTTTAATCCGCGACGTCTGACGAAAATGATCATTCACGGCTTCATTGATACACCGTTATCGAATTGGGTAAGATTTCTGAGAATAAGTCGACAATTTAGCGAGTTACTTATTTTAAATTTTTTGTAATGAAATAGAGGCGATTTTGTTAAAACTATAATGAGATTGCGATGACATGAAATTCCTGCTTTAACAACTACCGCCTTCCACTCTTTTTAAAGGTTAGTGAAATGAAGGATGAACTAGTTAAAGCGGATGACTACAATGTGATAGTTGTAGATTGGGCGGGTGGAAGCCTACCGCTTTACACCCAAGCCACAGCAAATACAAGGCTCGTCGGTCTAGAAGTAGCGCACTTTATAAACACCTTACAGGTAATTTGCCATGAGTTTACTTTTGTCTGTTCATGTATTTATAACAAAACTGTCCATTTATGCATACAGGTCCATACCTTACTAGTTATAGAAGACTAGTTGTGACATAATTTTGAAAGAGCTTTCGATCAAAAAACGCTGATTCATTACTATGTTTTGGTTATAAACTTACTCGTAAACTAGTTAAACATAGCTTATTGTTAAAAAAAATTAGTTCACATTGCAGTTTGACAGATTGCCTGGTATCTCGTTGGGAAATTACGCTTCAATTTTGAATTATTTAATTACAGAAAGATCACGGCTTAAATCCTCTCGACGTTCACATTATCGGCCACTCTTTGGGCGCACACACTGCCGGTTACGCCGGTGAAAGGATACAGGTAAGTGTAAAAAAAATAAAAGCACGCGCGTTCCAGTAAATTATTTCTTAGCCTATCAACAGGATCTTCATGCTGTCTTTGATTTAGCTTCATATTTTATAGAATTTAGGAAGGATAACAGGCCTGGATCCCGCCGAGCCATACTTCCAAGGAATGCCCACACATGTCAGGTTGGATCCAACGGACGCAGAGTTTGTTGATGTCATTCACACAGACGGCAAAAGCATTTTTCTATTAGGTAAAATGATTTTTTCATTTCACTAGCTTTTACATCCATATACATATATGTAGTCATACCATTTTATTAGTATATTTTGTATATAATCATGGCTTATGGCTATTATTGAAATCATCAACTAACAAACTTTGTAACATATGTATATTATTGTAAATATGTATGAAATACGCGCTTTATGGCCATTGAATATTGAATGATCAATTTTATTTTCATGTAATATAGTTATATAAATATTTATAAACTTCACAAATATTTATCGCATATCTCCACTAATTTCCGGCTCCTTTATTCCACGCGTGCGACAGATTTTGTGTTTATGGCAGGGTACGGAATGTCACAACCTGTGGGGCATTTAGACTTTTACCCGAACAATGGAAAAGAGCAGCCCGGCTGCGACCTAACCGAAGGCCCATTGATACCACTCACCTTGGTGAAGCAAGGTTTAGAAGAGGCGTCCAGAGTATTGGTGGCCTGCAATCACGTAAGGGCAATCAAACTATTCACTGAATCCATAAATGGAAAGTGTCCGTACATAGGTAAGCTATTTAAACTTCATAGAACATTTTATATTTCAAACATAACCGTTAATTGCCACGGTAATTTTTAGGACATCAATGTCCCTCATATCAACATTTCCTGTCCGGCAAATGCTTCAACTGTGGTCATGGCTGTGCAGTTATGGGGTACGTTAAAATAAATTAAAACGAATGTCATATAATGAAATTACGAGGGAAAAATCAAATTGTAAATTCATTTGACTTTGGAAACACTTTTTAAATAGATCATAATAATATAATTACAATGAGGTGATGATGAGAATAAACTTTAAAAATACACTTAGATTCCACGCAGACAGTTCTCCCGGCCTGATTGCAAATAAGAACAACCAATCTGAAAACGAGGTGTTCCCCTCTGAAGAACAAGAAACAATCGGTGCTAAATACTATTTAAGTACCGGAAAGGAGCAACCGTTTTGCCGTGAGTTTCGTAAAGAACTTCCACATGCACGTGGTAAACAAGAAACATAACATGAATATTAACACGGCCTTTTCCTTTGCAGATCGTCATTATAAGGTAACAATTCAACTGGCCAACCCAAAAGGAGCGGAATCTTGGGTTCAGGTAATATGACTCAAAAATTTCAACTCTCGATATTTTCCACCCACATATACGAAAGAAAGGCTAACACATCAAATGTTTTATAGCTTATGTAGTATGTACTTTCATAAAAAAAAATTTTAACCTTGTCTGAAAAGTACGCTGAACTTGCGTCCTTAACTTCTTCATAGCTGATAAAATATCTTTCCATACAGTTCTTTTATCATTTTTAAGCCAGGTCTGAACTATAAAGCCTTCTCCAAAAGTATTGAGCACTCATGACATCATTAACATTTCGAGTTCCATGTATAATGTATGTTACGGCCAATCAAGAAGCTCAATTGAGTTTTCTTTGATTTATGACATGTTGCGTTATCCTAGTTTGAATTTAAGGCCATTTGTGTTCATATCCCCATAAAGTTTTAAAAAAGTGAGCGTCAACACTCATTCAAGGACATTTATGTATTTTGTAGAGTCCATACGTCCCCCAAATACTAACATTTCCTCCATAATACAGCCCCAATACTCTGGATTAAATTCTTCGCCCACTCGGCGATGCACAAGTCACACCGGTCGTACCTAAGTACAGAAAAATTTAGAAATTTAGTCAAATTAAAATATTTTTACTAATACATTTTATTTTTAAGTCTATACTTTTTACGTCTATAAGGTATTTAAATCGTTTTACTAGCCTCAAAAGTTTATCCGTCTGACCACAAGATATGGCCAAATACCTTCTTCCGTATAACTTTGGTGTTTTAAGGCCCGTTTATACCGAGCCTTTTTGTTATTATAGGGAAGTTAGAGTTTTTTCCCGGCTTTCCAGCCTTTCAAACCAGTTTCCTAAAGTCTTCCACGGTTGGTTCTACTAAAAATTGGTCTAGTAATTTCTTATGATAACTAGGCAGCGAGATATACTTATCCTTACTTTCTTACTAATATCATAAACACGAAATTTTGTATGTATGAATGGATGTATCTTACTCTTTCACGCAAAAACTACTGAATGGATTTTAATGAAACTTTACAACAATATAGCTTATAAGTACATCAGAATAACACATAGGCTATAATTTTTAAAGGTATTGAGTGGATTATCTAAAATATAGGTAATGATAAGTGTAAACTAAATAGGAAAAAATTCAACCATCTCCCAGATATTCTGGTGTATAATAATAAACTCATTCATAATTCCTTTTTGCCTCGCGGGAGAAGCCACGAGCGAATCCAACTAGTACTATATAACTTTCGGTCCTCACGGTCTGTAGTGATACGTTTGCGTCCGGTTCTGGACCTATAAATATGTGATCTTATTGCACAGATCGGCGCGAATATTTCATAGTTTTTGAAATTTCTACCTCATTGTTCATGTGATTTCCCTACCTCATGCAAAAGTTAAATTTGCACACGTTTCTCTAAACTAAGTTCGTTTCTTTTGGGCATATTGACAAAATATCACCAAATATAACAAAATACTAATAGCGCACTACCTCACTGGATGTGTACACAACGAGCGAGAGTAGCGAACTGATAAATACAATACAAAAAAATGTTTAAATGACAATTTTTATTGCGCCAGATATTTTATTACTAACTACAAACTGTTTTTATGAATTAGTATTTATGACTTATTAGGCACCGGATTTATTATTATAATTTTTTTGTTAGGTTTAGTTTTTTGTTCCTCATTTTGTTCACGTACTAAATTTATAGGTTGCTATATACTTTTGGCCAAGGCTGTAAATTGGGTGATTAAAAGTATGATTAAAAGTAAGCCTCGTTATGCAGGATAACCTTTCTCTACTTTCTTGTTTCTTTTTATTTTTAACGGATTTGATTAACTGGTTCAAAATTGATGCGTAGTATTCTACGGTAATAGAAACACTTTTTATCTTTGTTATCGCGCATTGGATTCCTTTCGAATCCCAAATTCGGTAGGATAATGGTTGCTGAGATTTTTCGGCCACCTTTTTTATGCCACTAACTAGGCATACTTGGACTTATTAACTATGAACCCAAGTTTCATTTCCAGAATCTATTTTATTCATTATTAATTTTATTAATTTTATTCATAACAAATATCCAAAATGTATGGGGCACTACACGCGTTGTTGTTTTCGCAGCGGCGTGAGTATTTTTTGCACCCATCTCGCGCTGAACTTAGTTATGTCAAGATGATCATAAAAATGTTTAAAAAGGCTTTTATCATAATATAATCCAACCAGTTCTCCAAGTTGTTTCTTCTTCCGCCGATTGAGTTGCTTTGTCGACAATAGAATTCAAAGACTAGTGACATAATTATGCTAAAACTTCACATTAACACTATTTATTTATAAATCACTGAACACGTTACGATCTATAACACATATATATCGTCCCCCTATATTCCACCATTCGTCGAACTTCAAAACACCCTCCTGCAACGGAATTTTAAGCACATTTTGAACGAAGGTTTAATATCATTTTTAAAAAATCTACATAAACAAGTTAATTGTGCGTAAAATATTAAAAATATTTTTTCCCACAGGGCTTTTTGAAAGTAACACTGCTATCAGAAAGAGGCGTTATAAGAGGCATGGATCTAACACCGAATAATTACGTCAAGTAAGCAAACAATGTACTGAACACAGTACAAAATATGTACTGTGTTGAAGAAAATCTAATTTTATTATCATTTTATATTATATATATCATATATATTGCCATTTACAGATTAGAACATGGGACTACTTACGCAATTGTTGTCACTCATCCTATAGACCTAGGCGGTAAAATAAGAAAAGTATGTTTTTAAAAAAAATTCAATACTTTGACATAAAGGCTTTATTATTCCATAACCCTTTGATATTTTAATTCCAGGTAGAGTTATCGTGGGAATATGACATGAACGTACTGGAGCCGCGATCGCTATGTATTCTATGGTGTAATGACCGTCTTTACGTTAAGTCGGTCCTTGTTGATCAAATGGAGTTGCCTAGTCGGGGGTAAATAGTCTCAATTGTGTTTTTCATTTCTTTATTTCAATGATTTCTCCCAGTCATTTCGTTTCTCAAATTCAAGATCTACTTTAGGTTGAATACCCCTAAAATATTTGTTATATGCACCTTATTTATCAACAGAAAAAGAAACGTAGACTTCAGCAGTAAATTGTGCACGCCAAAACGCGAGTTCGCCGAGATTCCAAACCGAGGTTCTGCAAGTTTTTATGACAACTGCGGCAGGTAGTTGTGCCATACAAAAGTTACGAGCTTCTTTATTTATAATCAAATAAAGAAGAAAGCTTTAAAAGTGTAATGTGAGACACCAGTGTCTGAAATGTGTTATGTGGTTGATACTTTTTAAAGTGATATTTTGAGTGATGATAGCGGTAGGGGTTATTTTATTTCCTAGTGATGATCCTCATGCGTCAATTAATGTAACGAACAACACCCGTGAGTCAGTTCTAAAATTTCCTTTCTTTTAAAATCACGAAAAGTTGACAAAACTGTAAATTTTAGCTCTCTAAACTACGTAAATAAAAAGAGAAACTGTAAATATTGTAGGGTCTGATTATTATAGAAAATACCTTAATTGTAAAGTATTTTAATATTTAAAGTATATTTTTTATTTAACATTGTATTTATTATAACATCAATATACAATTAAATAATATAATAGCTCTTTTTTTGTTCATTAAAATAATGTTGACCTATGAAACTTAGAGCAAATAGCGGCCGTTGATCCCGTTTATTTATACCGTACTTTGCTGACTTTTAGTTTCCTTTGTGATCATGGCACAAAATTTTAAAAACGTCATTTAAGTGTCGTCGGCTCACGCAACAGGCTTGTCCGCGAAGGTACCACGGCCTCACAAAAAACCCACGTGTTTAATACTTTCAGGTAACAGGGGCCTACTTTTGTACTACAACTGATGCTGCAAATGTACACCTAACATCAGGTGACGCGCGTGCACACAGTCTAATATTTCACATTAAAAAAAAGTGTGCTTTTGTGGCTAATTTTCTAGATTCTATGTAAGCACTAACTTATAGAGTGTAGAGAATAAGAAGTAGGATAGAAAATATAAACTGAGTAGAAAATATGTATCAAATAGTACAGGCGAATATGGCGTTACTATAGCATACGTTGTACTCTCGTGCTACATTTGCGCCATTCTGGACATTGAACCCTTTTTTTGTTAATTTTTTAAGTTATGCATCTTTTGGCACGTTTGGAAAAAAATATTTTGAATTTTTCACTGTTTACTGTAGTGTAAACATACAGTGTAGGGATCTACTGTAATCAATTTCACAGTAAATAAATAATAAATATTTTTAGGACACATTTTTACACAACGTTCTCTAGTCTCAAACTAAGCAACGCTTATACTATGGGCTAGATAACTGATAAACACACTTAAACATATTTTTCTTTTGTAATTAAATAGATATTATTCATTATATAAACAGTAATCAAAATCAATCCCCAAAACGACACGCAACAAAATGAACTACACTACTTGCTGGGAAGGAAGTCGTGAGGCATCAAGATAACAGACTGTACCTGTTACGAACAAACTTTAATAACAGTTCCTGTTCCACTCAAATTGTTCCTTAATACGTTGTCACAAGCTTTTCTTAATCATGCTTACGACTGTTACCTTAGAAAGAGTCTGATAGCTTTGTTCGAAAGAGAATTACAGACGTTACCATAGTGGAAAGTACTATGGCAACAGTTACACAAATTGTCACAACATAGTATGAAATAATAGGCAGTTATTTTGTAACAGGTCACTGTTACTTTTAAGGAACAGGAACAGGTGTAACAGGTACTCGATGTAACTTAGTATAGCTCACTCCTACTCCAAGTTGAGTAGAATTAGTATAAAGTAACAGAAACTCGTCTTTGTTATAAAGGATACAATACTTACAATACAATACTTTTTTTATGTGTAAAGCGTGCAGGCATTTCACCTGATGTAAGTGTATACCGCCGCCCATGGACATCTGCTACACCCAAGAAGTTTGAAGATGCATTGACAATGAAAATTGGGCTCCGGCTACCTCACTCACCAGACAAAACGCGAAAGTATTTGTCGTACTTCCACTTTACGCCGGTCTTTCGGAGGTCGTGGTACTTACCCGGACTAGCCTGCCCATTCGTGGCAAAGCCTCGGCTACTGCATGGCCCAACCACAGTTAAAAAATACAATACATATTTTTTATCGTACATTCTAACCTTTTATTCGGGCATATGATTTATGAAAATTATAAATAAAATATTATTTTAGAATAAACAAGTCAATTAAATGAAAATACATATTATTTTCTTACACACTTCCACATGTAATTATCACTGTATCAAAATTTTAAAAAATATACCAATTGAATTGATAACCTTAACTTAACTTAAGTCGGTTAAAAATACTGTATTTTTTTTCGGAATATATTGTATTTTTTACCAGGCAGCACTGTAATTCTTCGGTCATGCAGGAATGCCAACGTAGGAATTTTCTTCCTAAATTAATAAAGCAAAAATGTACATTGTTAATTTTTAGAAGAGGTAAATACTTTTAGGAACAGCTTTAGGAGTTAAATTTATTTACATTTTTGAAAGAAAAACTACACAAAGCTACTTACCTATTTAAAAAAATTATAATTTAATTGTGCTATGCTGCACTTTGGTGGATGTCAGGCCAAGGCCTATGTGTCTTGTATATATATTAGATTATTCCGCCCTATAGTATAATATTGAATATAACTTGATAATATAAAAATTGTGATTTTAAACTTAGGAAGTTTTTGTTTCAATTTATTCAATATTAGTGGATTTTCCAATTAATTTAGGAGCATTATTTTTGAACAGTTTGTAATACTGCTGTCGCGATCACTGACAGTTGACAGTTGACACTGATTGTATTCAAATTAATTCATGTATTGTAATTTGTAACACATTTGTTGCTATAAAAATACGAAATATTACAGGTTATTTTGAAATCCAATTGGTTATGTGTATTAAGCTTGCAAATATACTTGAACGAATTGAATTCTAAACGAATACTTTCAATACTTGTTTGAAAATGGTGTTTTTGACTATAAGTAATTTGGTTCGTACTCGTGGTCCAGATGAGACTTGGAGAAAACGAAGAATATTTAGATTAGCAGCAGCTTATATAGGGCGACGAAGAAATTGTTATTCTATTGCTGTTCGGAACGTTCACCGTGCTTTAGTTTATGCAACAAAAGCTCGCAAATTAAAAAAAGAGGACATGAAAGAGCTTTGGAACACTCGAATTACTGCTGCTTGTGAACAACACAATATAACAGCATTCACGCTTAAAGAAGGTTTAGACCGATCTAATATAATGCTTAATCGAAAATCTTTGTCAGATTTAGCTGCTTGGGAACCTCGGACGTTTGAATGTCTTGCAGCAATAGCACAAAAAAAATTACAGCTGGATGGTGTCATTGATGGAACAGATAAAAAATACCCAACAGGAGTAAATTTGAACCTCAAGGATGTAATGCTAGAGGCTTGGCTGAAGGAAAAGAAATAAATATAATATTACTTATAGTAGTTGAACAATAAATAGGTTTAAATTATTGTATTATTTTATTTATAAATTAAGAATTTCCCATCTCTTTCTTGAGTTGTTTTGTTAACTCCTTTTGTTGTTGAAGCAAGTAAATATTCTCAATTTTTCTTCTTTGCTGCCTTTCTGTATCTCTTATAACACCTTCATGCATTTTTTCCCTAAAAAAAATTTTTTTTTAACTTTAAATCTTACAATTTTACAAATTTTTTTTATAAATAAAATGCATATAATTCATAAATTTACTGATAATACAAATAATAAATAAATTATTATAAATATAAATAAATTGTATACCTCTATTATAATTAATTCAAGCAAAATATAAAACATAAAAATCTTTAAATTTAGTTTATTTTAAATGCAAAAAACAGACCATTCATTTGATAGGTTGATTTAAATTTTCTCAAAATATGTAAGACCTAACACAATAGACATTTCACATATATGTTAGCTGTTAGGTTGTATAATTGATCCTTAGAAATCCAAAAGACCATCTGGAGGAGCCTGTATGGTTTAACTGTAATGCCCCATATTTACTGAGTTTAGGTGTTCAAATTACATATTAAGATTGTCTATGTTTCTAGTATCATACAGAATTCATGGTAAAGTTCAAGAGTGGCAAAGCCAAATTATTGTTATGTAACTAGTTTCATCTAAAATTTATATATTATCCTTCCCCGACTTAGGCATGTCCAAAATCGAAAAGCAAGATAAAATGTATCATAATAAAGTTTTTAATACTATTTGTTTGTATAAAAAATAGAAATTACACAACTGTGGATCCAAATAAATTTCCCATGTTACTGAATCAATCAGAAAGTAAATAAATGAAAGTTATTTAATTATGAAGAATGGTATATAACATATATATATGTGTATTAAGGGAATTGATAATCCAAGTAGTATTAATATGAAACTTGAATAATTACCAAGTGTCAGTTGAATTGATTAATTTATTACATTGTCCAGCTCATATGCATAATGTCTAACAGCCCATGGTATATTTAAACAATTGAGACTTCCTATTTCTAGATGGACAATTAGGTACTTTCGATCGTATCTTGCGGGGTGGTCCTCAACACTTAATAACACATGTCAAAGTCAAAGTATATTTATTCATAATAGGCCTAACTTAAGCTCTTATTGAACGTCAACACAAAATCTACCACCGGTTCACTAAACTAGACCTGCACAGTGAAGAACCGGCAAGAAACTCTGCGGTCTTGTTTTTTTTGTTATATATAATTTTTTTTTCATGAGTGCACAGAGTAAGTTTATCTAGCTAAATGGAGGAATCCATGGATATGAAAAGATGTTTTAACAAAAAAATTTATGAGCAAAGGGAAAAAGCACTCAGTTGTCTACTAGCAATGAGTATTATCAACATAATAAGAAAACAAAATGGAGAGGAAAAAAGCAATAAAACAGAGATGTTGTTACATAGTATTTATATGTGTAACAACTAAATCCCATCCCAAACTGGAAGAAATCCTCTTGTCAGTAAAATAAATGACGAACCTTAACCAGGAAATCAGCAACCTACTATATATGAAAACTTGACTACAAGCAAGCCGAGTAAGGGTACCGGATATAGATCAGCCCAAGACAGATAATTGTATACTAATTGCTATCATTATTTCTGTTGAAA